GGACCCCCCCCCAGAGTTGTCTCGGGGTTTTGGGGGACCCTGAGGGTCACTGATGGCGTCGGCCTTGGCCAAGGGCCGGGTGACCCCCAGAGCCCCTTTTCCACCCCAAACTCTTCCACGACACCGCGGACCGGTTGGCTTTGACCTCGGCCATGGTCCATAGTTGACCTTTTTCCACCCAGCCCATCCCAAAATCCCGCCCCCACCAAGCCTCCCCCTTTTCCCCCGGGACGCTCCCAACTCCCACCCCCCCTTTGGGAAGGTCCTCCCCAAATTTCACCTCCGTCTTTGGGCGCCTTCTTCCGGTTCCGGCGCTTCCCGCCCTGTCCCTGCTCCCTGACGAGCTCCCGGAGCATCTTTTCCACCTGGGTCCTCCCGGCCGTTTGCAGGATGAGCCCCAGCTGCCTCCGGAGGTCGGGATTCACCCCCCCATCGCCGGAGACCCCCGGGGGGGCCACCTGGGTGGGCTCGGGCTGGCCCTGCTCCCCCTCGGCCTCCACGCCTGGAAAAGGCCCCGAAAACCTCAGGGATCGGCTCCGATCCCGGCGGGATTCCCCCAGAATCCCTAATTTTGGGAGTTTCCCGAAAATCTCAAGGGATTCGGTCAGGTTTGGGGGGTGTGTGGGGGGAATTCCCAAAAATCCCGAGGGGTTTGGTCAGGACTGGGGAGGATTCCTGAAAAATCTTAGGGAATTCAGCTAAATTCGGGGTGGGTATTTCCCCCTCCCAAAAACCCGAAGGAATTAAATTAAATTAAATTAAATTAAATTAAATTAAATTAAATTAAATTAAATTAAATTAAATTCCCCCCCCCTCCCAGATCCCGAACATCCCAAAAAAAAACTCAGGGAATCCAAACCGATTCCTTGGGGGGGGGGGTGTTTATGGAGATGTTCCCCCAAACCTCCAGAGCTCCCCCAGTTTTGGGGGGGTTTAATTAACGGGAAAAAAAAACCAACCCAATCAACGGAAAAAAAAACCCCGATATTGTTGTTTTGGGGGGTTTCATTGGCTTTTGTTGGTTTTTTTTGCCCAAATCCACCGGAATTGGCCCCGGTCCCCCCCCGACTCACCCGACACCAGCCCCCGTCTGCGGTGGGACTCGGCGAAGGCCGTGATCCGGGGCCAGCTGATGGCGATTTCCTCGGCTGCCGGAAAAGCGGGAGCTCAACATTCCCAACTCCCCCTCCCCTGGATATTTCAGGGCTAAACCCCCCCACTTTGGTCCCTTTTTCCGGGGCTGATTTTTGCCAAATTTTAGGCATTTTTTTGGGGGGCCACGTTTGTCCCGTTTAGGGCCAAATTTCCCCCCCAGTTTTTTGCCAAATTTGGGTCGTGTTTTTTTTAGCCAAATCTTGCCTTATTTCTCG